GCTGGGGGTCGGCAGTGCGGGCGGGGGCGAACGCGATAGCGGAGGGGAACGGGGCTCTCCGCGCGGTGTATGCGTCCTGCCGCGGTCTGCTTTTCTCGGGCTCGAGTTAAGTCGCTCTGTAAGTCTGTCTCGAGTCCGCAGCTAGTGGCCCACTCCGCTGTCTCTGCCTCCTGTTGCAGGTCTGTTTCTGGCTCTCTGCCCTCTTGGGTCCACGCGTCCCCCAGCACATAAGCGCAATTTGGAGTTTATGTGACTGAAGATTAATCCTCAGAGGTTCCTGTAGTGGTTCGATTAAATTGTCCAAGGCTCTGTCAACACAACTCTTCCCTCTTTAGCAAATAACTGAGATGGGACTAGTGGGTTTTAAAGGGTTGCAGTTCGCCAGTGCCTGGTCCAGCCGGCATCAGTGTGTATGGGAGAATGGGCGAGATATTCTTTCTTGAGGTGCTAAATGGGACAGGTTAGGAGAAAAATGATTTCAATGGAGAAGTAGTTTGCTTTTGACCGCCAAAACCCTGCAGTCAGAAACACCCCAGAAGTATCTTGACTTACTGGGTAAATCTAAGTGTGTGGATGACAAGGTAAGAAATATAAAAGCAGCTTGAACAAGGCTTTCACTTTGAAGGTCTGACTTTATTCGAAAGCAGCCCCATGTACCTCTTGTGTTATGCATCTGTATGCTGTGTTCTTACTGATTGAAAGCAAACTTCACCAACAGATGGTCGTTTATGGTTTGAAAAAAAAAATCAAGCAAAAACAAATCTAAATCTAGATTAGCATGACTAGGCAAGCCATTGCATATGTATACTCATTTTTTTTAGTTTCAGTAGGCAATCCTTATTATATAATGCTTATTCAGCTCTACAAATAGAAGCTTCATTGCAGGATATTTATGGTCTATGAAACTAGCAGTGGAATTCTATATTATAAATCATTCAATTTCAAAAAATAGCAAGATATTTAAAGAGAAAAAGTAGTCTTACTCTTGTTCTTAGGACTGAACCTACTTTATTACCCTAAAATGAAGTTCCAGGTGCATTTATTTATTTGTTATGTATAAAACATTACTGCCATTCACGGAGTACTGTATTCCGGGACCTTTATCAAGCTCTATGTGCGTGCTCTAATTTGAACACCACCAATCTTTTGAAGTAAGTGTTATACCAATAGTGTGGATGCAGAAATGAAGACTCATGTTAAGTAACTTAGTGAAGCAGATTCTGTATTGTCAGGCAACAGAGTGCATGCTCAGAGATGACCATCCTACTTGTATTCATTTGTAAGTGGTTTGATTATATTAGGCCTGGAAACTTTTATTTATATGCCACTAAAAATAATCTTGATCAGAATTTCTTGAACCACTAATGGAAAATGTCCCTCCAGAGGACATTTTATGTATCATTGTTTGTGTCTCAAATTTTGAGAGATAGCAGTTGGGGGTATATGGGGAGATGATTCTAAGTGCTATGGTGGAAGGTGGTAGAAAGTGACCTCAAGAGCCAGGCGCAGTGCAACATGCCTGTAATCCTAGTAACTCAGGAGGCTAAGGCAGTAGGATTGCAAGACCAAAGCTAGCCTCAGCAATTTAGTGAGGCCTCAAATAACTTAGTGAGACCCTGTCTCAAAATAAAGTATAAAAATGCGTTGGGGAGATGGCTCAGTGATTAGACCCCCCTGGGTTGAATCCCTTATATCAAATAATAATAATAATAATAATAATAATAACAACAACAACATAAAGATCATAACTGAAGCGCAACTATAAGGAAAAGAATGAGTAGTCCAAGCAGTATTTCTTTCTAAGCATTTCTTTAAAGAAGAGTATTGTATATCTCTTATTAATCAGGACCATAATAAAATAGCAGAGTGTTTATGCTATAGTTATAACCCCTTAGTGATTGTGAAATTCATTTAGTGTGTCATGATGGGTGTTTTAAAAAATAAAACATTAGAAAACATCAGAATACATTGCCCAATGTAATGTGTATTGTTTTGTGAAATTTTGGGTTTATTTATGTGTGTATGTGTATGGATGCACATCAAGTCACAATATAAAAGGAATTTCTTCGGTTGCTATTGGAAAAGCTCGAAATACATTGAAATAGGAAAATACAGAACTTAAGAAGACAGACGCCAGCTATAAAAGAAAGAAAAAAAATGTGTTTGGAGTCAGTGATAACTCATTTATTCCACAATAATTTCTTACATGTTTTGAGCATCAAATGTATTTATAACAACTGCCTAAAACTGAAAGGGGACAAATTAGGCCCTTTGCTCTGGGTGCAGTTTATAATCTAGTAGGAAAGAGAATTTGGAATGGGGAACCATTTAACAATTCAAGATAGAAAGGGATTAAGGCCTAAAAATTTATATTTTTAGGCCTTAATTTATATCAATTTTCTGAAATTAGTGATTATTATACTGATATTGACAATACAATTGGAGAAGCCTTCAGAAGAAAAGAGACTGAGTTTATTATTTATGTATTTTTGTGGTCTTGTGGAGCAAAACTAGGCAGACACTCAGCCACTGAGCTGCATCCCCAGCCACAGAGCTGAACTTTTGAAATAGGAGGATGGAGGAGAGAGAGAGGCTTTCTCACTAGAAGAACTATAGGAGCAAATACTTGAGTCAGGAAAACTCCAGATGTTTGAGGTAGAATAACTAATTTGGAATAGTAAGAAGTTGGGCTGGATAAGTAGGGAGAGGCACAATAGGGACAGAATTTCTGGCTAGTGATAAGAGTATAGGAAATTGGCAGTTCCTAGAGTTTTCTAACCAGAAAAATGGTAGAAATACTCATCAGAGTATTGATGCTTTGAGATAGGATGAGGGGGAAAACAGAAACAAAAATGGTAAGGTAGGAAACTTGCTAGAGTGAAGAATTGAATTGAAAAATGCTGGACTGGCAAAGGGCCAGAAGTAAAGCATTTTATAGGAAATGATGCCATGGTGTTAAGGAAACCTGAAACTTAAAAGCCATTCCAAGTGAGGTGACAGACACTCAAAGACAATAATTTACCAACGTTGTGTGACAGCCACTGAATTAATGGCAAATATGATTCATTCTGTAGAGTAAACTTGTTAATATAATTCTGTGCTAGTTTTGCTTGTGAGACACGTTCCTTCCGGGGGGGAAAAAACTGTCTCCTAGCTTGGCGTAATAGACATTCGCAGGTATAACAGACAAAACAAAGAGACATTTTTCTTGATCAGAATTTCTTGAACCACTAATGGAAAATGCATACTGTGAGCTTATTGAAATCAGGATTTCTGGCTCATTAATTTTGATACTCATGGTGTCTAAAAGTGTTTGTTAAATGAATTAAGGCCAATGACTGAGTAGTTAGAGAAAAATATCTAGGCCCAGAATACCAAGGCAATATAGAGCAAAGCATCTTGAATGATTGTATTAGATCCCAAACTATGTGATAGGACCAGTGGTCTCCATCCTCAAGTCAAGGGCACTCAGTATCAATCTGCATGGAGGACCCTGAGCCTTGCTAGTTTGTTGCCTTAATTACTTCTATAGCAGTGGAGCTATCAGATGGGTCCCCAAATCTGCTTTATCTCATTTTTTAAAAAAATAACTACTTTCTACGTCTTCAAAATCATAAATCTAATAGTAAATCTGTTCCACTTAAAAAGCATCCCAGGAGTTCCAGACCAGATCAGTCTTCAGGCAAAGGAAATAAATAAATAAATAAATAAATAAACTTCTAGAACTAAACATCATCATATATTTTAGTATCTCTTGTGAAGAATTGCATTAGGACAAAATCATGTTACATATTTGCATAGTTTCCTGAAAATTCCTTAAACAGATATCAGTTGTGTGCTAAGTTACATGAACTCAGTTACTTACACAGAACTGAAAAGCAAAACCTCTGTGAGAGTTAGAATCCATAAAAATGATCTCTTTCTTGAAAGATGAAAAAAGTATATAAAATATAAATATGTTTTGCACCTCCCTTGTTTCTGATTTTTTTAAGGTGCCCTTTAATAACTTGATATTTCCTTTGGATGTGCAATCTGTAGCATTCCATCACATAGAAAATGCATAAATTTTGTTATATGTATTTTTGACATTGAGAGAAAAAGGTTAAATAGACAGATGGCCTGGATTGACAGAAATATTGATGACTTCGGGTGGGCTATAATAAAACTGAAATGGTTAACTCATATTGTTAGAAACTATGATGTAGTTGGGCATAGTGCCTCATACCTGTAATCCCAGTGACTTGGGAACTCTAGACAGAATCGAAAGTTCAAGGCCAGCCTCATGAACTTAGTAAGACCCTAAGCAATTTAGTGAGAACTTGCCCCAAAATAAAAAATAAAAAGCTCAGTGATAAAGGACCCTTTCGTACAATCCCCCAGAAC